CAGAGACAAATTTAATTATGGCTTCATCTAGTGCAAGGCAGAGAACAGGGGTTCTGAGAACAGCCTGTATATCTAGCTAGGCATCAGCAGGCAGCAGCCTCCCTCTCTGTGACTCAGCCTGTAGAGTACAGGAGAAAATGTCCCCAGGCACTGAATTAGCTATCAGAAAACTCTGGGTTAAAGCCATGCACTTCCTTCTTTGTGTCTGCTCAGAGCCTTATCACTTTTGCTGTACACTCAGGCCTTAACACCACTGGCTGTCTTTTTTCCAGCCCAAATAGAAGCCACAAAGTAGAAAGGGACAGAGTTAGGTTATTTTTAGAAGCAGCTACAATCATAACAGAAGTGGCAATTGGACATAAAAGTAATGCAACATCTGAAAAATGAAAAGTTGTAAGATTCCCAAGTCATAGGACCAAGAGATAATGCTCTCTCCCCAGTATTATCTTTTAAAGAAGTCAGGTAAATCGGTGCTACAATTGTATATTTATATGCAAAATGCTTAAAAGTAAACTTTAGCCTTTGAAAGGATAACTTTTTCTTTTTATGTTAGTATTTATTTGTAGGAGGCATCCTCTAGGATGTCAGGTTCACCATCTCAAATTATGCTTGTTTTCCCAAGTATTTTCTGTTGGCTGGACTGTGACAGGTCTCTGGGAACAAGCAACTTCTACCTGACTGAAAGAGGGATGCTGCTCTAAGTTACCTGGAGATGGGCCTTTGAGTGATGGGCAGGGCAGGCACAAGTGTTTCAAATATCTGTCATAGACCTCTTCCACCTCCTCTGACTATATCTAAATTTGCACAGATTGGAAAGGCTTCTGTAAAGCACAAAGCCCCCAGAAGACAGATATTTTTGAAACCAGAGATTTCATGTTGCAGAGAGATTGCCACAATTGATTTGTTTCTCTGCTTATTTATTTATTTATTTTTCTTATGCTATTTTGGGAGGATTTCAAGTGGAAAGCATTGGTTAACCGTAATCTTCATTTCAAAGCATGTTTTCACTGTTGGACCATGCCAGGCCCCTCTTCTGCTTTTGTGTCTGTACATTTATGGTGCCTGTATTTGGTTACTCTCTTTATCCTCATTTCCTGTGATCATTCCTCACTCTTTTTCCTCCCCTCAGTGTCAGGCTCTGTAATGGGTTTGACATACATCTTTGGGTTTATATTTACTTGTAAAACACAGAATTATTTTGTGTGCTAATTTATTTTTGAGTTGCATAACCAACTCATAGCATAAAGTCATGCTGTAGACCTTATTGCATTTCTTAATTTTTCACTCAGGGCTTTTTAAGACCCACCTGTGTTGCTGGTCCTGTATCCATTTCTCGGCTCCCCACTGCTGCCTACCACTAACTAGTCCATGGTGCATATCCACCATGGTGTATAGATCTGTTCCCTACTGATAAGCTTTAAGATTGGCTTGGTTCCCTGCTGCTGTGATCAGTACTATATTAAACAATCTGAAAAGTAAGAGTAGGGACTTGTGCAAATGTTGCTTTGAGAGTATTTCCCCAGGAGTAGGATCGTTGGATCATAGGATGCCTGCATACTCAGTTTGACTACCAGCTGCTCTCCAGAATGACTTTGACCAGTATATGTCCCTACCAACAGCACACGTGACTTGTTTGCCATCCTGTCAATATGTAGCATTGTCCAATTTTCTGATTTTTGCCAAACCAATAGGCATCAAGTGGCATCTTATTGTTTTAATTTGCATTTCCCTGGTTTCTCATTAATTTAAGCATCTCTTTAGAGATTTGCTATCCATTTAGGTTTACAATTCTTTGAATTACAGTTTAAGCCCTTTGTGCAGTTTTCTATGGAGCTTCTTAGCTCGCTCTTACTGATTTGCAAAAATTGCTCATATGATCTGTGGTTCTTAAATTTTAATGTGCATTTGAATCACCTGAAGATCTTGTTAACGTGTATTATGATCCAGTTGGGAGGGGCTCAAGATCTTACATTTCTAATAAGTTCCCAGATGACATACAACCTATGGTCCTTGAACCACCCTGTGAGTAGTGTGATTCCAAATGGTAGTTTGAGACTTTTCAAGTCTCTCTTTCCAAATATATGTCCCTTGCCTTTGTCCAGATTTAATGTAATCAAACACATCAAATCTTTCGCCTTATCGTTAGTGCCGTATGGGACTTGTTTAAGAAGTCCTTTGTTACCCCTGGGTCATGGTGATTTCCTCTGTTTTTCACTATTAACTTTATATTTTTATTTCACACTTAAGGATTTAATCCATCTGAAGTCACCTTTATGTTAGATAGAAATTAAGTACCAACTTTTATTTTTCTCCTTACAGTGAGCTAGTTTTCCCAGACCAAATAGTTCATTGTCTCTCCATTGATTTATGGCGCTATCCTCATCTTACTTCAAGTTCATGTGTCTACTCTCTGCTTTCTATTCTGTTCTCTTGGTTCACATATATGTTCCTGTAATAGTATCATACTGTTTTTATGTTCATGGCTTTGAAGTATAGAAGGGTATTAATATTAACTCTTCTACCTTTGTTCTTCTTTTATAAATTTGACTTCGTTATTTGTGAATCTTTGTCCTTTTAGATAAATTTTGGACTAGTAGATACTATAAAAATCTGGCAAAAATTTTGAATGAAATTGCAATTTTAATGACATTATAGATTAACTGGTAGGTGTATTGATATTTTTATAATGTTAAGCTGTTGCACTTATGAACAGGGATATATTGCTGTTTATAGAGTTTAAAGTTTTTCTCCATAAAGTCTTATGGATTATTCTTAGCTATAATAATTACAAGTACTGTACTATTTTTGTTGCCTTTGAGAACAATATTTTATTTTTTTTGTATTTCCTAGTTGATTATTTCTGTTATAGAGAAATGTCACTGATTTTTGTGAGCTGACTTTGTATCTCTCAGTCTTGCTGACCTTTATTTGTTACTTTGATTAGATTATAATATGCAAATAGTAACACTTTTGTTTACTTTCATTCTTTGCATTTTTAAATTTAAATTCTTTACTCTTTATTAAAATTTTATTTTTTATTAAAAAAATAGAAAAAAGTAGACTTTAAAAATAAAAATAGAAATAAAAAAGTAGACTTTACTTTCTGAGCAGTCTTAGGTTTACAGAAAAATTTAATAGAAAGCATAGAGTGTTCCCATATACTCCCTTTCCCACCACCCAGTTTCCACTCTTACTAACATCTTGCATTGGTGTGCTGTATTTGCCAAGACTGATAAACCAATATCAACACATCCTTATTAACTAAAGTCCATAGTTTACATTAGGGCTCACTCTTTGTGCTGTACAGTTCTGTAGGTTTTGCTAAATGCAAAATGTCAGGTTTCTACCATTATAGTATCATACAGAATAGCCTGCTGCTCTAAAAAAAATTCCCTGGGCTCCACGTATTCACCTCTGCTCCCCCACTCCTAATCCCTGGCAGCCCCTGATCTTTTTACCATCTCTGTAGTTTTGCCATTTCCAGAATGTCATATAATTGGAATCACGGTACATAGCCTTTTCAAAATGGCTTCTTTAACTTAGCAATATGTATTTAAGGTTCTTCTGTGTCTTTTTGTGGCTTGACAGCTTGGCTTCTCATTTCACTGAATAATATGCATTGTCTGGATGTACCACAGTTTGTTTACTCAGTCACCTCTTGAAGGACATCTTGACTGCTCCCAAATTTTGGCAGTTACATTTAACCTTGAAAGAAATTGACAAATTCTCTTCCAAAGTGGTTGTACCATGTTGCACTCCCACCAGCCCTGCATGAGAGTACCTGTTGCTCCACATGCTCACCAGCATTTGGTGTTGTCAGTATTCTGGATTTTGACTGTTCTGAGAGGTGTGTAATGGTATCTCTTGTTTTAATTTGCAATTTTCTAATGACATATGTTGAGCATCTTTTCATATGCTTATTTGCCAATTGTATATCTTCTTTGGTGAGGCATCTTCAGATTTTTTGCCACTTTTTAATTGGGTTGTTTAGTTTCTTATTGTTCAGATTTAAGAATTCTTATTATATTTTAGATACAAGTTCTTTATCAGATATATATCTTGTAAAAGTTTTCTCCCAGACCATGGCTTGTCTTTTCATTCTTTTAAATGTCTTTTGCAGAGTGGAAGTTTTAAATTTTAATGATGTCCAACTTGCTTTTCCTTTCATGTGTGGTGCTTTGTTTTGTATCTAAAAACTCATTGCCAAAGCTAAGGTGACTTAGATGTTTCCTATGTTTTCTTCTGGAAATAGTATGGTTTTGCCTTTTACACTTAGGTGTAAGACTCATTTCAAGTTTAGTTTTATGAAAAATGTGGACAGTGTCTTGATTCATTTTTTTTTTTGCATGTGCAGGTCCATCTGTTCCAGCACGATTTGTTGAAAAGACTACCTTTTCTGCATTGATTGCCTTTGCTCCTTTGCCAAAGATCAGTTGACTATTTGTCCTGGTCTATTTTGGGGCTCTCTAGTCTGTTCCATTGATCTGTTTGTCTCTTATTTTACCAGTATCACACTGTCTTGATTACTGGGGCTGCTTTTTAATTTGTGTTTTATAACCTTGTATTTCTAAAAAAAGGATTTGAGATAGACTGCAACTTCAGTTATGTTGAAAACAGGATAATTTTAATAAAATGATAAAAATTGTAAAAAATTAAATTATTGATTCTTCTGACAGTGGTACCATTCTTTCAACAGCTAGAACACACAGAAATACTATAATAGAGGATGGCCAGACTGAAGACTTTCTACCTGCTGTCCTTTATCTGATAATATCAAAAACCATAGTTTAGACTGAAAAATTCTGGGGTTGGGTCATTCTTAAATATTATTGTTTTCCTTTGAGTTTGTGGTGATAGTTAGTATTGCATAGTTAGCTAATACAGTTCATTAGAGTAACATCTTGATACTTTAACTATTTTAAGAATTGAACCAGCAACAAATGTTTGTTGAAATATGCATCTATGCAATTTTGACCATAATTTAAAACCATTTTTTTTAGGTCAATGATGCCTTCCTTCATGTGATGCAGCGGAAATCCACGGGCAAGGTGCTTCTCTCCCTTAAGTAAATCCTCACTTCAGCAGCAGACTCGTCATCTTTCCAAAAAACTTGATTTCCCTCCTGTTTGTCTGAAAGTGTTACCACCTTCCTTATTAATCCAGGTTCAGAATCTTTTTAGAGTCACCTTTGATTCTGTTTTCTTACTCCTCATAATTAGTGTGATGATAACCTTTATTGCCCGAACTTGGACCCATCTGAGAGTGAAAGGATGCTGTTAGTAATTACACCAGGAAAATAGGTGTCCCAGGCAAGACAGGATGTATGGTCACCCTATTTGAATTTCATCTCCACATCTTCTTTTCCATTCTGACTGTGTCTCATCTGCTAACTCCAGTGACCTCCTAACTGACTTTCCTACCTTTAAACAACCTCCACCTCCTTCATCCTTGGTGTACATTATGGCTGTGGTGACCTCAAAGGATAAGTGTGATTATGTCTCTCTCAGAAAACCTGCAATGGCTCACCATTGTCCACACGGTAGAGTTGAGACTGTCTGAGCTGGCAGTTTGTCATGACCTTGATTTTGCCCTTCTGTTTTCCATCCTTGAGTCCCACTGGTCCCTCGGTGCGCACATTCATCTCCCACCTCCCCAATGCGGCTCTGCTCAGGTGGTTTCCTCTACTCCCTTATCTCCAGCATAAGCCTTCCTGGCCTCCAAGACACGCCTCGGCCATGATCCTTTACCCCCAGCAAGGCTGTCATCTCTTCTACCTTCCAGTAGCTTCTCCCCCAGAATTTGTCACATTTGCCTTGCTCCAAAGGGAGCAGCATGTCTTCTGGGATGAACACAGGATTCTGAATCCAAGATGTGGGTTTGAATCCCAGTCTCAGGACTTTGAAGGTGGTTACATAAGGTCTCTGAGCCTGCATTTTTTCACTGTAAAGTGAATATTACCATATCTACCTCGCAGTTGGTTGACAGCAATACATGCAGTGATTGGGCAAATCCCCCCATGTGGTAAGCGATTAGCAAATGCTAGTTACTTTTACACTCTCTCCTTTCCTAATGCAGCGTAAGTTCCTTGATAGCAGGTACCATGACTGATCCACTTTTGTACTTCCCACAGTACCTAGCACAATGAGTCACCCTTGGTAAATGCTCAATTAATTGAATTAAATTTGAATTATCTGCAAGTCTTAAATTGTGGGATTAAGTTAATATGTTTCCTTGGCACAATATAAGTAGGTCACAGGGAAGGCAGTACAGCACAGAGAAGACAAGTAATGACTCTTCAGCACCTTACTACGCTGATGGACAGTGACTGCAGTGGGGTCAGTTGGGGGGACTTGATAATATGCGTGAATGATGAAACCACAATGTTGCTCATGTGAAACTTTCCTAAGATTGTATATCAATGATAATTTAATAAAAAAAATATGTTGCTCTGGATATAATCCAAATGTCCATCAACAGATGAATGCACAAACAAAATGTGGTATCTACATACAATGGAATATTATGTGGCCTTCAAAAGGAATGTTTGACAATATGCTGCAATATGAATGAATCTTGATGATATTATGCTATGTAAGTGTGTATATATATACACATATGATATGTAAGTGAAATAAGCCAGTCCCAAAAGGACAAATATTGTATGATTCTACTTATGGAAGTACTTAGAGTAGTTAAATTCATAGAGACAGAAAGTAAAATGGTGGTTGCCTGGGGCTGAGGGGAGGAGAAAATGGAGAGTCCTTGTTCAATGGGCACAGAGTTTCAATGGGGAAGGTGAAAAGTCCTGGAGATGGATGGTGGTGATGGTTGCACAGCCATGTGAATGTGCTTAAAGCTACTGAACTGTACACTGAAAAATGATTAAAATGGTAAATTGTATGTTGTACACATTTTACCACAATAAAAAATGTTTACAAACTATAAGATTACCCTCACCTTTAAGTGAATTCATTCAGAAAAGAGAAAGAGGATGTGAGTAGAGGGTCTAGATTAGATTGAATAAGCTCCAGTCTCTGCCCATGGCCTAGTGTGCAGGAAGAGGTCCTGTACCTTTGCTGGGTGCTAAGAAGCATTCTCTCCTCCTACCACACGAGTGGTAATTCCCAGAAAGGATAGTGGTGGGGTGCGGATAAAAGGCACCTGACACCACTGAGATGGGGGTATTTCTGCTTACTCATGATGAGGTCCTGTTCTAATAAATGTGGTAAGAGGCTTTGTTTCCTGGTAAGTACCTCAGGCCATTTGAAAACACTTATCTAATCAGGGTCTCATCAAAAAGCTTTGGGAAGAACTGCATTGTAAAATAGGGAGTGAACATTTTGGAAAAGAATTTGAAACCGAGAAATTAGCAGGAGTGAGGAGGGAGAAGGTGTCAGGGAACACAGCCGCGTGTGTGTTGTGGGCCCATGTGGTGCCTGCATGAGGGCCAGAACACAGGCTGTGGCCTCTTTCCCTCCACTTGCCACAGTTTGTCCTTCTGAGGGCTGCACGCCCTGTGGTTCCATTTAGTGGTGTGCCTCTCTGCACCTGCCTCCCCCAGCCTTTCTTTTTAATGTGAGCTATATTTGTATTTGAATGAAAGTTGGTTTTCAAAAATATCAACACCAACTTTGAGGCTAACTTTAGAACTTCCTGACATCTTTTGGGATAATTGAAGATGTGCTGGGGAGACCTTGGGAGAGAATGAAGACCAATCAGCATTAGGCAAAGTGTGGAAGCCCAGCTGGGAACTACCTTTCCCACCTGTTCAGAGTCGAAGAGTAGGTGTCACTGGTAATAAAGATCATTGTCCCCACCTCACTAACATCACGATGACTTAGATCGAAAGTGGCGGTCATTAAGGAGAGCGAGTGTCCTCAGGTTTAACAAGTGTTGGTTAGAGTCTCTAATGACCTACTCCCTGCTTGGTCATGTTCCTGCTTCATTGGAATGACTCGATTTGAAAGCATTTGACTCATATGCTAGTCATCGTTTGGTGGTTCCACCATCTGAGCCATTAGTTAGTCTGAAAAAAGAATCAGTGTGGTGCCCAGTGACAGCATTCACCTATGTCAGTAGACTTTCCCCAGTTCTCCCGTGTGGGCTGGCAGCTCGGGAATTACTCCCCCACACCTGCCTCTTCTTTTTCACTCACTCTGGCCTGTCCACCTGCACATGCTTCTCTCAACAACCCAAGGGAGGTTTTGTTCTCCTGGTGGTGGAATAATTCTGTCTCCACATCACCAGTGTAATTGTCCCTGCTCCTTCCTCTACGATCTGTGTGGCTTTAGAAAGCTTTCTGTTCTATCTGAGTTATGGGAAAGACAAAAGATTTATTTGGCAAGTGAAGGAAAATAAAAGTGTCTTCACATAATTACATTTTTTTTTGAGAGGGCATCTCTCATATTTATTGATCAAATGGTTGTTAACAACAATAAAATTCTGTATAGGGGGCTCAGTCTCCAATCTTCTGGAGCATAATGAACAAGTTCTTACATGGTGAATGAATTCTTTTTTTTTTTTTGA